ATATTTATAAATAAAGTATGTGTATATTTACTACTATACTATAATGCTATAAATATCTCTCCTGACTTTTTAAAAATTGTACTTCATTTTAGTCAGGCTCTCCCTATTCCTAATCAAGAACAAAGGTTCTCAATCTTGCTAAAGTTGTGTCCTCAGTGTTCATTCTTTTTTAAGAAGACAACAAACAACAAAACCTGTGGGATTCTCTACATCTCAGGCAGCTCTCTTAAATTAAACCTCAGGAATCCTTCAAAATGTAGTCTCTTTCTTAAGCTTCTCATCAAAGAAATCAGCTTAACAAACATAAAACAAAAAAAGATAATGACAGATGACAAAACTGAGTTAAAGAGAAAGCATCTTAACAAAAATGGTAGTGGTAAGAGATTAGAGTGGGAGAGACCAGAAAATACAGCATCATATATATTACACTACGCAGGTTTTGCAGAATGATTATATAATAAAGGATGGTTTCTATTATTTTCTTTATAATGTCTAAGTGTTAGCAGTTTTTTCCTCTGCTGGGTCAGAGAGTAAATATATCAGACCTTGTAGGCCACAGAGTTTAACTTACAGCAACACTTCAAAAAAGATGTAAGGTCTTTTGAGTGCAGATACCAACAGATCATCAATGTTTACAACATGGCCTAACACTTAAAAGCCACAGGAAAAATTCTGGAGAGAAATTTTAAAGGGATGCTTAAACTAGAACAAAGATTCAAGAGATATTCAGAAGCTAAGACTTGGTGACCAGTTACTTGGAGGTATACATGAGTAAGATTGGAAGCAGGAGTGGCATCCACTTCCATGCCTCCAGAAACTCTATGAATTTTGATAAATGTCGATAGTTGTAGAGGGGTTTCAGGCCTTTTGTACATAGGATCGCTAGGAGTTGTGCTCGACTTGAAGGCAATCAGCACCACCACCACCACCACCACATGAGTAAGAACACATCTTTAATCATAATTACCTGTATGCTTTTCTTAACCAAAATACAAACGTCTTAATAAATAGAAAATAAAATCCTTAATCTTTCTGATGCTACTAGCTTATTATTGTACATGCACATATTGGGCATTCAATTTAATTGAGGTTTTTTTAAAAAAGAAAATATCCATTATCTTAATTCTGATTTTATAAACGTTAAATTTTCAAGACAGCCTTCTACAGGAAAGGGGTATACTATCTTTTGGTACTGGTACCACTTTAAAATTCCTGGAACCTAACAATTAGTCACTTATGTGAAAATAAAACTAAAATATTTTCAGGAAGCTTCATTTACTGGGCTTAATGTTTTAAACACAAATGGCATTAAAAACATTTGATTACCTACAACCTTGTTCCTAAAAGTTTAGAAAAGTGAAATCTAAGATTATATGTATTTCTAAGCTTGAATGTTTCAGTTAAAACAATCAGAATTAGTCAGACCTCATTTTTACAAAGGTTTTATACCCTAAGAGTAAGGATTCATGAGTTATTTTATGTTTGACAAAACAAAAGAAAATTTTTAAGCATCCAAAGATTAAACAAACAGAATGGAGAAATGAGAATGACTCTCTGAAGTGTATCTACAACTACTTACAGAGCTGCAGCACCAGAGATGATTTCAATCAACTCCTTTGTGATGACAGCTTGGCGGGTACGGTTGAATGTCAAAGTTAGTTTGTCGATCATCTCAGCTATAAACAAAAGCAGACCAAACTAAAAAAAGGTAAAACTAGAAAAATATAATGTACTCATTTACAGAGTACTCATTAAGCATGTTAATTTGAAATCTGAGAGAGGAAGTTAAACTAAGGTATCTGAGGACAAGTTGGTATAATACCTCCCTAAAAGGCAGTAAATACTCTTACTTCAAAATTTTCAAATGAGAAAACTCAGGGAAAGACTAACTGGTTAGAAAATCTGTTGAGCCAATGAGAATTCAAGACTAGGTCCTGGTCTGCTTAAAGAATGAATGGCACTGTTTTTTGATGCTAGGATCTTCACACTGTTTCAACAACAGAGCTCTGAGAAAAGCTTTCCTGTGGACTCACAGGCATTCTTGCTGGCATTGTCCATAGCTGTCATCCTGGCACTTTGTTCACTAGTGGTGGACTCCTTCAGAGAGTAGTAGATGATGTTTGCCAGAGTGTATTCTTGGTAATTTTGTAGCACATCAGCATCAATATCATCATAGATACTCATGCTTTCTGTTAAAACAAATGACAAATTTCTTTGAAGCTAAATGGAACAAAGACTGATTTAATAAAAAGTATACTAATAATATCTTTTACAAACACAATTTCTGAGTACAAGTCAATGTAAGATAGAGCAAAAGAATCTGTTCTAACAGTTGTTTAAGTATTTGCTATTCTAGTTTTTAACAAAATGAAAAAGCCAATATATAAAAGTATTACATTTCTTAAGTATGAAGTTATCTGGGTAAAACCCAGTAGAGTAGCAGGGATGAAGCCAACAGGCACTTAATAGATGGTGTGTTGTTTATTGAATTAAAGAAATTAATGAGAATCTCTGAAGAAGAGTAGTGAGCACTTCCTGGTGCCACCGGATGCTTGGGATTGAATTACTGTCAGGACTATGAAAAGCCACACTCTGGAAGCAGCAATTGCCGATCTTTGAAACCTTGCTTTAGTTAATGTAAATATGATCTCATTTTGAAAGTCTTCATCAAAATCATCTTTACTTACTACAAATGTAGCTTTTAAATCACTGAAAATCTTTGGGTCTTTTCTTGCACTAAACAAAAAATAACCACCACAGTCATCAAGTCACGTCCAACTTATAGCAACCCTAGAGGACAGAGTTGAACTCTCTTACCAGGTTTTCAAGGCTGTAATCTTTACAGACTGCCTCCTTAGTCATCTGAGGAATGGTCAATGGGCCTGACAACCCACTATGTCAGAGGGACTGGGCTTCCAGTTTATCTTTACAGTGTAGCCTCACTCTCTCAGAGTGGTTGGTGGGCTTGAACTGGCATCCAGGACAGCAGTACAACTCCCTTCCAACTATGCTATACACAGCCCTTCTTGTGTTAAAGTAAAGCTAAATAAAAACAGTACACACATGTTCTGACTGACCTATAACTTCTTTAAGACATAGGGACAGAGTCTGCTTGTAAACCAGGATATGTGAAATATGGTACCGAGAAGGTAAAATAGTCATAGAAATAAGAAATCTGTTCTAGAATATTATTTTTGAGTTTTTCAGTCCACAATGATCACTTTATTCAGAAACCACTAATAGCTAATGCTACAACAGCTCAGATCACTTTTTATGCTGAAATAGGACTTTTTTTTTTTAAAAAAAGTATTTTTGTTAATGTACAAACCTCTTCTCATTACACAGAAGAAAAAAAAATACTAGTCACATAAAAACACTTACCAGCACTTGCAATTGTATTAAGGGAAAATATGGGCTTTTCATCAGTCTTATAGGAGATGACAGACCTAGAAACAAGGAATGCAGATGAAATGTTCATAATAAGCTTTAAACTGTTAAGTGGCTATTAACATATTTTAAAAGAAACAACTAAGCTCATGAACGTAAAAAATGTTTTGATTTTTTTCAGTTTATCTTGCCTGAATCGATTAAAGATGATAGATCCTTCATCAAATTCATAGCCAGAATTCAGCAATTCAAGAGCAATAACTGATGCATCTCCAAAAGTAGGAGGCTTCCTTCCCACTTCTTTAAATGTTACCAGAAATTGGTCCGAATGAGTCCTACAGGAAAATCAAGAGATCAGAAAACAGTTTAACAAAATAATTTCACATAAAGAACTCAAGAACTCAGGGAATCGGATTACATTAGCATCTTGGGTCAAACCTACAAGTGAGGAGCTTTCCTGAATTAAGCTGTCCCACACATTCATGTGCATGCTCTTCAGCATTTGTAAAGGACTTAACGCATTTATTTTTTTTGGTCCCTATTTTTCTCTTGTCATTTATATAATTATGATTTATCTCTAGTACTTCCAGGCTCAGATATCCCCTAAAAGTTCTTATCTGGATTAATGCCAACAGCTTTTGAAATTACCTTTACATTCAACTTATGGATAAAAGAAGAGGTGGTGAAAAAGTGGAAAAGAAGGAAAATCTATATTCAAATATACTCTGGGAAAAGAAAAAAAAGAGAAACTGTATGTTGTTGTTGCTGACTGCCATCAAGTAGAGCAAGACTCATAGCGACCCTATGAACAAAAGATCTGAAGCCTTTCTTAAAGAAAAATACACTATGAAACTCCTATTTATTCATTCATTCATGCTTGTACCCTTCAGAGCAAAACAAAATATATATTTAATTACCTATGCAAGATGCCCCTGATTTTATCTCCAATCCCAACAATCATAACTTCTTTTCCAGCTGCTGTAAGCTCGGCCACCTCACTTTTTATCTGTTTTGCAATCGAGGAATGAATAGCACCACAGAGCCCTCGATCTGAGGATACACCAATAATGAGGTGTCTCTTCTTGTTTTCAGGAACCTTAATATCAGCTTTCTCATAGAGCGCTTAAAAATAAAAAACCAGAAAAACACTTCAATAAGCAATAAACACTAAATACAGAAATAATCTATAATTTTAGGTAGCTTCTTATTCATCAAAACCATCTGTGTACTTAAAGCCCATTTACTATTAAGCCAAAAAACCATGAAGGTCTAAATTTTTTTAAAGGCCAACTTATTTTAATTACTGATTAAATGGAATGCCTAACTAGAGGCTTTGAGTTATCTAGAATATGACACTGGTCTAGAGAATGTAAATGAGTGACACAAAAACCCATAGTATCTTTAGGGAAGGAGTGTTCTAAGAGGGGGAAGAAAAAGTAAGTATTGCAATGTGAGCAAGGGGAGGAATGATAAATGAGATTACTGAGGCAGTCAGGTACAGGCTCACAGATCAGCTTGTAGCCTATTTTTGTTGAGTAGATCCTACTCATCTAATAAACGCACTGCCAAGTTGATTCTGACTCAGCTGACCCTCTGGTGGATTTCAGAGGCTATACATCACACCTGAGGAGTGCTCATCTCTCTTCCACTGAGCCACTGGGGAACTGGACGTTAAGAGGCACTGCCTTTTGGTTAGCAGTGCAACCTGCTATGAGTATAGCGCCAGAGTTCCCTTGATTCTACTCAAAGGACCCTCCAAGTCAAAGGAGAACTGCCTCATGGAACAGCTGATAGGTCTACTAATTCTTCAGTTGTTGAGAATTTAGCCCCTGTGCTACCAGGGCTCCGTAAGCTTGCAGGCAATTGTATTCTCATTATAAAGAAAAGCCAGAAGAATTTTTAGGGGACAGAGGACAAGCATGATCTGCTTCAAGAGAAAGGTTGGACTGCAGGGTGGAGAAAGATTAAGGGAGCCAAGAGCTGAAGAAATAATACCAATTAGGAAGCTAAATGCTACTAAATGGAGATTACTGGGCTGAGTGGTAGGTAAATGGAATTTCACTGTAGGCTTTTCTTTACTTTTTGGCAGCATTTTCTAAAATATATGGTTAAAAAGTATTTTATCAAAAAACAAAAGCTAACTCAAAACTACTGTCACTAAGGCAGTTCAAATTTGTTACAACCCTGTAGGACCAAGTAGAGCTACATACAGGGTTTTCAAGACAAAATTTTTACAGAGGCAGATTTCCTCCTGTTTTCTCTGTGGAAAGCTTGTGGGTTAATACTGCTCAGCTTCTCATTAGTTTTGAATTCTTTAATCACAGCACTGCCAGGGCTACATCTAAAATGTGTTTCCAAGACCAGATCTCCCTAAAAAATATTTGTTGTTGTTATGTGCCATAGAATTGAAACCCATTTATAGCTGATCCCTCTGCAGGCTTTCGGAAGGTATAAATAACACACAGGGCACATCCTTCTCCTCAAAAGCAGCTGGTGGATTTGAATGACTTGCCTTTGCATTGGCAGTGTAGCTCCTTACCACTAGGCCACCAGAGCTAAAAAAGTATTGGTTTTTGTTAGGTGCTGTCAAGTATGTCTCACAGTGACCCTACAAACAACAGATCTGAACCCTGTCTTATCCTGTGCCATCACATCATTTCTGACATACTCCTCCTACCCATTGCAAAAGTCATTGTATCAATTCATCTCACTGTGTTAACTTCATTTGAACTTTCTCTAAGACATACATGTTTGTTTTTTTGGCAGTCCATAGAATACTCAGTATTCCTCTCCAACATCATAACTCAAAGGCTTTGATGATTCTTCTGTCATCCTTATTCACTGTCAAGCTCTGAGATACATAGGAAATGACTGAAAAGACCATTGCCCAATCAGGTACACCTTTGCCTTTAAATAACATCATTGCTCCTCAGTATTTTGGAGAGGTCCCTGACAGCAGGCTTCCTAAATAGGTGGCTTTAAATCAATAGAGACAAAATGATTATAGAAAAGCCAGGAGGGGCAGTAATCCCAATTAAAATGGGAATCTTTCAGTTCTCTAGTTTATCTAAAGGTGCCCTGGTGGCATAGTGCCTAAAATATTAAGGTGCTAATCGAAAGGCCAGTAGTTCAAATTCACAAGTTATTTTGTGGGAGAAAATAGGCAGTCTCTTCCCATAAAGATTTCTAGTTTCAGGAGTCCAGTGGAGGGCTGCTATGGATTAGAATCAACTGGCTGGGCGTGGGTTTTCAATTTATCTTCACAGTACTGTTACGTGTTGTGAGTCACATGTGACTCCTAGGGACCCTATGAACAACAGCTCTAAAGCCTGCGCTATCCTGAGACAGCCTCACTGACACCAACACACCTATCTCTGTTATCCCAGTTACTGTGTCAATCCATCTCATCCAGGGTTTTCCTCTCCTGCACTATCCCTCCACCCTTCTGAGCAGGATCTTTATAGTATAGCCTCATTCTGTGTCCCAAAGAGTGGCTGGTGGATTTCAACTGGCAGAGAGGCACAGCCTCTGGGGTGGCAGCACAACTCCCTACCAACTCTGCCATCAGAGTTCTTCAATATAGCACCTTACTATGTGATTTCTCCAATACAGCGCTTCAGTATAGCCTTACTATTTAATTTCTCTCCAAGATCAAATTAATAGATAAGTACTATATAAAGTTAGCTTGGCAGCAGTTTGGGAAGTTCTGACCTGTGTCCTTTTAGGTTTAGAATCTGCTATGCCAGCCTAGAGAAGCCAATGTGCCTTATGTCCCTGGTACCTAGATGCTAGGTATTAAATGTATTTTCAAAAATAGTTCTGCATCTATTTTCCACCAGAATGAAAACAAAAAAAAAGGCTTATGGGTTCAACTGCTAAACCAAAAGGTTGGTGGTTTGAGTCTACTCAGAGGAGGTCTGGAATTCTACTTCTAAAAAACCAGGCACTGAAAACGCAATGGACCACAGGCCTACTCTGACACACATGGAGTCACTATGAGTGAGAATCAAATACTGTCATAAGCTATTCCCCAGGCCCCCACCCCCAACATACAGTCAACATCCACTGTTGGGACAATCTTTTTAGAATGGATAAGCATCAATTTGTTGTTTAAGGGACACTCTTTAAGAGGCTAAAATATAACCTCCCACCGCACCTTTAATTCACAAAATAGTACCATATTACCGAGTAACAGGATGAAATCAAGCACCTGAACCTGATATATTATATTTCTGTGCTCTTTTGACAGTATCGTTAAAAACCTATGAAAGATTTTGGAATATTTTAAAAGCAAATTCCGTCATTTACAATGGTTAATACATACACAGGTACTGAGGCTAAGCCATGGAAGTTTACGCAGAAACTTTTTTTTCTATTTCTCTGTGTGAACTTGGGCAAGTTACCTTATTCCTTTCTCATCTATAAAGAAGAGGCTGCATCAGTTCTTACTTCATGTACATGTACTCAAGAAAGGCCTGGCATTATGAAATTAAGTTTTCTGTTAAACAGTTCTTTTTACATTATGAATTCTACATTTTTCTTACCGAGAGATCCGACTCCATATACTCGAGCTGGTTTCAGCTCCCTCTCTGCTCGGGCATATTTTGCTGCTGCTACCATTTTCATAGACTTGGTAATTTTCTGAATGTTTTTGATTGACTTCAGTCGCCTGGTAACTGAAAAATAGAAGTGCCTAGTTATGGTAAAAGAATTAAGAGAATCATTGCATTTGTGAATGTATTATTTTTCCCAGAATGCAAGATAACTAGCCCTTTGACCATTGCTATCTAGAAAATGAATGATGCTAATAAACAAATTAGTATTAAGAAAAGATTAGTTTAACTGCTATTGAAGACAAACAAAATGATGATGTAACAGAACATTCAATAGTACAATAAAATCAGACCAAAATTTTTCTCATGTTTTACTTCACTTGTGCTTAAGTCTTGCAGTCATTTTGCCAGCTTTGATTAAGTGTATAGCAGGCTAAAGCTATTTATCTTTAAATACATTATTATTTCTTTTGTCCCATCTTTTAATTCCACACTGAAAAAAAAGAACCCCAAAACAAAGTACTTACTATCTTTCAAAGTTGCCATATTTCGAACTTGGGTCCTGAGAATAAAGATTTTAAGAATATTTTAGTATTTTTGAAAAATAGCTCCATTACATAAGAAAACATATTTTTCCAAATTAATATATCTAACAAATATTCCACAGGGAAAAAAAAATCTATCAAATATAGCATTCTCCAGGGCTACATCTAAAATGTGTTTCCAAGACCAGATCTCCCTAAAAAATATTTGTTGTTGTTATGTGCCATCGAGTACTTAAAATTGATTATATATGCTAGCATGATGACATGTATGAAAGAATACTGTGTTTGAAACAAAATTTAATTTTTCCAAATCACAGTCAACATTAATTCAGCAGCTACTATCTTTCCTGGCCAAGAGGAGTGGGGGATTGGGATGAAAGACGGACTGTTGTGTCAGAAATGATGGTGTTTATTCAGCATTTCAACATTTGGGACACCGCTGACTCTGAACTTCTTGTAACTAGTCTGTCACTAATCTTAGCAGAACAAATTCACTTTTCTTTCTATGGTATGTTCACACAGGTTTATTTTTCTTCTTTGTGTAACAGATTTTCAACAAACTTTAAAAAGGAAGTGTACAATTAAAAGTAAATACAGTAACGACAAATAGGGATCAAGAAAGACATACTATGCTAACAATAATCAAAAGAAAGCTGATGGAGCTACATTAGTTTTCAACAAAGCAGACTGCAACAAGGGAAAGTATCAGGTATAAAACAGGACCCTAATGATAAAGGATCATGTGCATAACAATCATCAACATACATAGTGTAAAAATGCAGAAAGAAAAAACTGATGGAAGTACATGGAGAAAAATACAAATCACTATTTGTTGGGTTTTTTTTTTCTTTTCTTGTTGTGTACTGTCAAATCAGATCTGACTGGCACAGGAGGAGACTGACCCTCCTTCTCCAGCAGAGCATCTGGTGGATTAGAAACAAATCACTATTATAATTAATTTTAATATACCGTGGGTTGCCAAAAGAACAAATATGTTTCTTGAAAACATGCAGCCAGAGTGATCCTGAGAAGCAAAGAACTGTGAGACTTTGTCTCACATACTTTGAGCATACTGCCAGGAGATGGGCCAGCAAAAGAGGAAAACTCTCAGTGAGATGCACTAACACAGTGAGTACAAAAAGAGGCTTAAGCACAGTGGTGACTGTGTAATAATGGTGTAGGATCAGGCAAGATTTTCATCTATTGTACATACAAGAGCCAATGGTAAACGAAGGATGAAATTCAAGCTGCACTGAAAGCACAGGCAAACAGTGGGGTCCCATGATTGATGTGATAGCAACTGACATATTTCAACTAACAGACACAGCCTTGGATGTGCTTACCAGCTTATGCTAGGAAATTTAGAGGGCAGCTACTTGGCCAACTGACTGGATTCATGTCCATTCCCAAGAAAGATGATCCAACAGAATGTGGAAATTATCAAACAGTATCATTAATATTACATGCATGCAAAATACTGCTGAAGATCATCCAAAACAGTACATTAACTTCTGGAAGTTCAAGTTGATTTAGAAGAGGCCATGGCACCAAGGATATAACTGCTGATTTCAGATGGTTCCTGGCTGAAAGCAAAGATTATCAGAAGAGTGTCTGTAAGTGCTTTATTGATTATGCAAAGGCATCTGACTATGTGGACCATAACAAACTATGTCTAGTACAGAGAAAAATGGAAATTCCAAAACACTTAATTGTGCTCATGCAAAACCTATACCAAGAAGTTATTTGAAAAGGGCAAGGGAACTTCATGGTTTAAAATCAGGAAAGCTGTGTATCAGGGATTTATCCTTTCTCCATAATCATTCAAGAAACTGAACTCTATGAAGAAGAATGTGGCATCAGGACTGAAAGAAGACTCATCAATACCTACTTTAAGCAGAGGACACAACCTTGTTTCCTGAAAGTGAGGAGGATTTGAATCAACTGCTGCAGAATATCAAGGACTTCAATACAGATTGCATCTCAACATCAAGAAGACAAAATCCTCCTGATATGTATCATGATAAATGGAGAAAAGATTAAAACTGTCAAGTCCATCATCATGGACCACTCCAAATTACTGAGGCGCAAATGATATCAGTTTGAAGAGTAAGGTGTGTCTGATTCAGGCCATGGTCTTTTCAATCACTTGCCATGCATGTGAGCACTGGACAATGAGCAAGACAGAGAGAAGAAGAACCGATTGATGCCTTTGAGATTTGGTTTTGGATTAAGTATCGGATATCCCATAAACTGCCAAAAGTATAAACAGGTATGTCTTGGAGAAAATGCAGCCAGAATGCTCTTTGTAGGCAAAGACAGCAGAGCTTTGCCTCGCATACTTTGGGCATGCTGCTTGGAGAGGCTATTTCTTGGAAGGGGACATGATTCTTGGTCAGCGAAAGCAAAGAAGACCCTCAATGAAATAGACTGACACAGTGACTGCAGCATTGGTCAAAAATGTGTCAAGAGATTATGAGGGTGGCAAAGGATAGGACAGGGCTCAAATCTGTTATTCACAGGGTCACTATCAATCATACTTGATTCAACAGAACCTAGCATTACTAAACCCACAAGAGTTGCTACAAGTCAGAGTCATCTCCTCACACAGCAACTATCAATGGAGCTCCAGTGGCACAGTGCACTGCACACTGCAAAGACAGACTGGTGGTTTAAATCCTTTTAAGATGTATTTAGAAACTCAAGGGTAGGACACCATGTACTGGAATCAACTTGATGGCAGTGAGGCTGTCCCTTTCTCCCCAGTAATGGCTGACGAGTCCTGGTGGTGGTGGTGAGCACCATTTTGGGATAGCATTCAAAAAGTCAGAGGTTCAAATCCATCAGATACTTGCTTAGTGGGAGACAGGCAGCCTACTGTGATGATTTACACCTCTAAAGCCAGTGGAGAAAGTGTTAAGTGGAGATTTGCCATGACTCTGAATCCACCCCAAGGTGGAGTCCTGTTGGCATAGTTAGGTATGTGCTGGGCTGCTGTCAGGGGTTCTAGCCCACCAGCCAACCTGGGGGAAAGATGACAAAATCTGCTTCTACTCACATTTATAGCCTTGGAGACCTATGGAAAGTTGCCATCACCTCTGCCAGATGTGGGGTTTGGGAATAGTAATTGTTGGGAGTCAGCAGTAAAAAAGTCAACATTTAGTTAAATTACATAGCATCATCAATCAAATAACTGATCGTTGTTGATTAAGTGCCAAGGAATTGGTTCTGACTGATATAGCAAGTCTACTGTTGCAGATGTGGTGCCAATTCATCTTGTTCAGGGTATTTCCTTTCCCATCTCCACCCCTCAAGGGGATAGTCTTCTCCAGGGATTTGCCTTTCCTGCTAACAGGTCCAAAGTATGTAAGAAAAAGTCTCACTATTGGTTGCTAAGGAGAAAGCTGGTTGTACTTCTTCCAAGAGCTCTGGTGGTACAGTGAAATGTGTTGGACTAACTGAAAGGTCTGCAGTTAAATTCACCAGCTGTTCTATGGGAGAAAGATGGGCAGTCGGCTTTTATGAAGAGATAAATCCCTGAGAAGCCTGATTGAGACTCATTATGTACTGGAATCAATGGATGGCAGTGGATTCAATTAACATTCTCAGAATACCCCCAAGACAGCAGCGTACACATTCTTCTCAAGTCCCTTTACAATAATCCCCAAAAGAGAACACAGTCTGGGCCATAAAACACTGCTTAACAAAAGTACAGAAAATGATACAAAATATGCTTGCAGACAACGGAACTAACGGAAAAATCAACTAAGAGAAAGCAGATGGAAAACCCAAAATATTTGGAAACTTAAAAAAAGCCCACACACTTCCAAATAATACAACTCAAAGAAGTCTCAAGAGAAATTAAAAGAAAAAAAATTCATTAAATAAAAAGCAAAAACCAAATTATTTAAATCTTAAGAATGAAGCAGTAGCAGAAGTGGAGAACTTATAGCATTAAAAGCAGATTTTAGAAGAGGGTGCAAGAAAAGGGGATAAGCCTAAAGTAAGCAGAAGCAATAATAAAAACAGAACCCAGTAAAATTAAAAACAGAAAGCTAATGAGAATAATCAGTGAAACCGAAAGCAAATTCTTCAAAAAACCTGACTAGCTTCTACCCAGATCCCCCCCCCAAAAATTTTACACGTATTAGGAATGAAAAATGGACCATGAACATGGCTACTGATCCCATAAACATTAGATAGATGATAATGGAATCTCATGAATATCTCTGCTCCCAAACTTAGATAAAATTCCTTGAAAAATAAAAACTATCAAAACTCATCACAGCATTAAGTTAATCTGAACAGGCCTTGTCTTGTTTAGTGCTGCTGTAGTGTTTGTAAGAACCACAAATTCAATTTCTTTAATAGAAAAGAAATTTAATTTGAACAGTCCAAGAGGTCAGAAGTCCTAATTCTGAGTAGGAGCTCTAAGCGGGTGCTTTATTTTCCTGTTGGCTCTGGGAGGAGGAGGGTCCTGGACTCTTCAAGTTCCCTAGAGATCTCCAAGTGGTATTTCTCTCTTGTATCTCAGCTGTAAGTCAAGAGACTTCAGCAAATCACATCCTATACTAATCTTGCCTCACAAAAAGAATACATTTTCTTCAATCTGTAACAGATCTTTATCTAAAGAAATTAAGTCAATAATAACTTTCCAAAAAGGAACACATCAAGTCCTGATAATTACATTGGTGAATTCTAGAAAACATTTAAGAAATTATACCCATCTTCAGTATCTTCCTAATTATCTGAGCCCATGATTACAGCAATACCAAAACCAGATAAATTAGTAAGAACTGAAAATTATAGACCAATACTGCAAAAAACCTAAACAAATTGCAAGATTATATACCAAAATCAAGTGAAATTTTTTTTTTTGCGTGTGTGTGTGTACCGTCAAATCAGATCTGACTGGTACAGGAGGAGATTGTCCCTCCTTTTCCCGTGAAATTTTATTTTGAAGGTTTGAAAGGTTCAATATTCAAGAGGCACTTGTCATTAGGTGCCATTGAGC